TGGCACAGACAAGCAAGTACCTTCAGTGCACGCAGCATAGTTGTGTTCATATTATGTCTAAAGGACACTCACCAAACCAGTCTACAGTCGAGTAAAAGTGGCTCAACAAAAATATGAGAGGCCAACACATTTTATATTATAGCTCTTCAACAAAGACACTGATTGAATCTGTAAATGCGGGACAACACAGCTTATACATCAAAGATAACATGTACCTACCTAATCTGGTTAAAATGACCACTTTCAAAAAATATAAAATACCGTATAGCTGGTTTATTTCGTGTGGAATTAATTTTCGTGCAGGCTCAAATCCACTAAAATTAATTCCACTAAATTTTATTAAAACCAATTAAATATTAACAAAAATTTAGCAAGGCACTAAAATTAATTCTAATGAAAATTTAAGCAGCAAAAATTTGAGGCCACGAAATAAACCAGCTATACGGTACACTCAAGCATTCATAGAGCCACCATTTTAGCCAAGAGCATGGCACACAGGATATGACATCATCCTTTGATCTTGTACAGCTTTAATTGGAAACCGACTTCCTGTTTCTTATCCATATATGTGTGTATGTAGTACTCTATGCGGAAATCACGAGATTGGCGAAGACGTAAGATAGAATTATCGATTACATTATGGATGATAAGATAAGAACTTTCCCACTTTGTGTCTTGACCACGTGGTAGCACGTGTCTCGTATAGCATCTATTATACGGAATTAGGAATGTGTTTTACGGTAGATTACTGAGTTTGATCATGGAGGAACTTTATTCTTCAGTAATAGAGGGAGGGAGGATACACAGCGTGGACTGGTCCAGTCTTAATCTGTTAGCACTCAGTATCTCTCTCACTAAGAATGGATACGTGGGAGAAGGATTTGGAAGGTAAATATGAAAAGTACTGTTAGGGGGTGTGGTTTTATATATACTATTTTTATTAGCTCAAAAACTCACCAATTATTAGTAGTTGATGCTAACAGACCATGGGAATATCACGTGTAAGTTATATATACTACCATGTACGTACATATCATGCATAGATATGAGATAATTATTTTATATTCCTCCTCCCCTACAGTGTGTATGGTGACAATAAGACAGTCAGTGTTAATGTGAAATGGTCTCTCTCGGGAATGCTGTTGTTATCAGTAGAACAAGACTCTGTTGCTAGAGTATGGAGAATGAAAGTAAGTGAGGGGAGGGACAAAATAAGAAATAAGGTCAACTTTACAAGTAATTTCACACATATAATCTATTATTGTCAATGGTTATGGGAAATTTTGAAGCAACTTTAAAGTTTAAAAATTTTGATTGCAATCAGCTCAAACA